ACCAGGCTGGCCCTCAGCCTCACATGCTAGGAATCCCAAGGATGCCCTCTCTTTGCAGTGGGAAAGCTGCTATAAAACTTCACCTGAAATCTTCAACACCACTTTGAATCCTGCTGGAATGGTACAAGGGGGCTTTGCTGACACCAGAATCTGATTTTTTTTTGTTTCTTTGGGTGTGATGATGAGGGATGGAGAACAGGCCTTTGGAGAATGATCAATTATGTTTGTTAAAACAGTTCTGAGATGGATACAGTGCCTTTTGGTCATGATTCAGGCAAGAAAGTACATGTCCAAGGGTGACAGAGTGGAAAAGAGCATGTGTGTGGCCCACATATAGTAATTTCTGTAAAAAAATTATCCCACTGGCTATATGATGTTACATTAGCCAGACTTTTCCACTTCTTTAAGTAGTGTCTCTGCTTCCAGAAATAATCCACAAACTTAATCTCTCCAAATGAACAGGTTATTAACTGAAGGAGACCTCAAAAGATCCTGAAAAAATCCCATATACTAATTAAAGACAGATCAAAGTGCAGTCTCTCCTATTCTCTCTGGAGGCAATATCATTTCTGAGGGGCTTCTTTCTGAGGGAAAGATAATTCCTCACGGCATTTCCTTGGTTTCATGTGCAGAAATGCACACTGTTTGCTAGCTGGCAAACAGCAAAGACGTGGGTGATGTATGAGGAGCAGCCCAGACTGCTGCTGACACTGAATTTAAGACAATATATTTCATGATCATATTCCTGGATTTTTTAAGCAACTGGTTTAATGCATGGGAAAGTATTTGCTTACAAGCTGCAATGGGAGAACTGGCACTTGCACAGGAGGCTGGATCTCCCTGACAGGGCACAGTGGGGCTGGGTCACAGTGAGGACTTTTGAACAGCTCCCAGGAAAGGTTCCACACTGTACAGATCTGTTGATGAAGAGCCCCTCTGCCTGGTCTGTGGAGGGTTGCTGCCTCCTTGCTGCTTGGCAGAACAGGAATTTCATTTTGGAATGGATTTTATCCATTTTCTGTCCTTTGGGCAAGGTGAACATGCAGAAGAGCTGGAGCCTGCCTTACACTTCTGAATTAGAAGTCTTGGGACCATTTTATATCTCCAGATGTGGAGGAAAAGCTCTGTTCTAACTCTGCTGTCAATTCAAGATTATTTTTCTTAACCTTGGCAACTACAGAACCGCTAGCTGCGTCTCCTTTATTAGTAATCAATACCAGGACACCTGGTTCTCCTTGAGAAAGCACTAGAACAGGTGTCTCCCAAAGGTCTCATACATGAGTTCATTGATACACTTCATTTTCTCTAGGGCTCCTACTAGCTGCACAGGAAGCAACAGTTCCCCGTTTCAGAGGTAATGTGAGGACAGGACCTGCTGCTGTTGTGTGGTGCTCAGAGGACGATAAGGCTGGAAGAGGCCTCTTACTCTAGCTCTGGAAAGGTTTCTTGCTGTGCCTAAGCCCTTTTGGAGACAGCTTTATTGTTTAGCATGAGCATGAGGAAAAATATTGCTTCCAAAAAAGTTCCTATCCCAGCCTGGCTTGCAGCTTGCCTGGGCTTTCCCTTGCTTTTCCCAGCAGAGAGGACCACCCACAGTTTGGTGTTGGTTCTTTCTTCCACATACCTGCAACTTCTATCTCCACCTCTTCTGCTTCATGAGGCACTGCTGGCACTCGAGGCTACCACAGAGCAGGGCAGCTCATCCTGGCCCAAAGCCTGCACCCAAACCTGCTGCTGTGCAGACCTTTTCTGACCAGTGCCTTTCTCTGTGGGACAGAGGGTATGTGTGCCTCAGTCCTGCAGCAGACATTATGCAGGGGAAGCAGATGCATGGAGCATGTGAGAGTACCTTGTTGTCAGCACTGTGTGTGCTGCCAGTGAGGATGATGGTCTGTTGACAGAAAGCTGTCACATCCCCAACTGTCAGCCACAAAGCTGTTCCAGTGGGAGTACAAGGCAATCCCCGGCTGGACCAGTTCAGGGCGCCCATCCCCATCTCTTTCTTGAGAAACAGCTATGTATTAGCTCTTAGCAAGCTCATATGAACTGCATAAAAATACAGGATGGCTTCTTCTGGCTCACGCTGACAAAGCTGCTGTAATGGGACTTGCATTGGGCAGGGCTGTATCAGCTACATCAGATGAACTGCACAGCAGGAGGTAACTGCACTAACTTGGGAGAAATGCGAAGGGATAGGGTCTGCTGCACATAGCCACAAGAGGGCACAAGAAGCAAAGCTGAGACGCTTCTTCCATAGGTCTCCCTGCGAGTATTTATGGCTAGTCTTTCTTAGAGCAGCTATCTGAATTTCTCTTGAGAGCTTTTATGTTTTGTATGCTTATTGGTGCTTTTTCTCTGTTCCCAGGCTGGCATCTACAGCTGAAGGGACATGTCAGTTCTTGGTGTCTGAAAGAGGACAGCCCCATGACAGGCAATCCTGGATCATGTTTCCCACATCCCCTGGCCCTGGGTGAGTTTTTCAGTCCCTCTCTGCTTTGTCTGGAAGGACACAACGTTAGCCAGGGAGCATGGCCAAAGAGAAAGAGTTGAAGTGCGAACTGCTTGCACCCTATGACAATAGCTGCATAGAGCATACTGACTTCTGGAAACATTAAGTCCTTGGTTTCATGGCTTGTTGTTAAACACCCACCAATGTGAAGGACAGAGAATTTGTCCTCTTGTTCTCGAAGAGCCACTGCCTGGCTCTGTGCTTGCTATTTATGGTCAGAGTCCCTGTGCAATCTCTCTTGCCCTTCCTGAAATGTCTAAACAAGCATCCTTGAATGCTCTCTGCTGCAATGGGACATTACCAGCTTGTTTTACATATGGGTTGTGCTCTTTATCATGGCAAGGAGCAAGCAGGATCATGGGAACAAATTGAAGAAAAACTCTTCAGAGGTGTGTTTAGCTCAAAATGTTCTTTGTAGGCTTTTCTTTCTCCTCTGCAATAGGGACAGCAAACAGACATGCATTGTGCTGGACCAGAGGCCCTGTCTGCTACCTAGGGTGGCATCAAATGCCAGGAACTGACCTGGAAGGAATTATGAGAAACTGTGCAAAATGGCCATCACACCCCAAGACAGGACCACCTCTCCCTAAATCAATTCTGACAGTATCTCTATTAATGGACCTTCTAGGAAGTGGTGGGAAAATACAGAAGAGAAAAAATGATGCCTGGAAAATAATAATGTGAGTCAATGCTTGGTGAGAGAGCTAAACTGAGAGGTGAAGAGATTCCTGCCTGGAAGCATCCATCTACTTTATCTGCCTGGCCATGGTGTTGCCTTGTGATAGTAACAGGGTCATGGCTTGCACAAGGACCACTGTGTCCTACAACACCCCTGCCACCTTACCCCAGTTTCACTCAGTTCTTGTTCCTGCTGCCTCAGAAAGGTTTACTGACAGTGAGATACATTGGGTGAGAAGTCAAGCTTAAGGGTAACACTTGAAAGTAATTTTGGGGGCAAAAAGAAAGTACATATTTGGTCAGTTCTACATGCCAGGTCTTGAACCAGCAGAGTTGTTTTGACAAGAAGTGTGGTTTTGTTTGACTGAAATAGTTATGAATTCAACTTCTAGGCTGATTGCATCTTTATAGCCTAAAATTGCTTCACAGCTGTAATTTATTCTCCCTTTCACATAGGAATAGCTCTGGCAAGGACTGGTCTTGCTGTAACAAACACCCAGAGGGTGAGCCGAGAACAATTACTGACAAAATAGGAACTTGAGGATATCATAAAAACCTGTCAAGCAACATGCTCAGCACCATCAAAGGAAGGTCCTTTGTGCACTAAACTTATGACTGCCTTGAGCAGGTCCTGTGGATGCTCATGTGAGTTTAGCATTTGGACAGGTTCATGGTCTTTGGAATACAAAGACCCCATCTCTTTTTGGGGCAGCCTTTGAGCCACCGACTACTGGAAGAGGAAGCATGGCAGAACTGCCTTGTTCTTACGCTGTTTGGAGGCATATGCTAGTAGGCATGGTCAGAGGCAGGATATTTGACTAGAATGACTTTTAGTATAACCATATACACCTATGGGACTTTTCATCTCAGTGACTGTGTTTACCACAACTGCTTTGCCAGCACTTCAGAGTAGGGTTTCATGCACTTCTGACACACAAAAGGTATCTGACACATATTTCAGGCCTTTAAAGGACAGGATCTTCAGCCAGTGATGGCCTGCATGCCAGGCAGTACATCTGAAACAGCATGCCCAGATTCAACATCCTTTTTTCTACCTGATGGAAAGTAAGGCTGCACTGCTTAGACAACACTCACACTTGAAAAGCAATCTTGGCACAGGACAGTAATTTTAAACAACCTTATAGCTCCTATGGAATATAAACACCACAGCAAGGTGCTGATGCAGTGAGGACTCCCCTATTCAAACCAGTCTCTGTTCTTATGAAATTATTATAGAATAAAATGACTATAACATTTGAATTAAAGACAAGGGTTTATTTGTTCTTTATAAATATAATCAGAAATATTTTTCAAAGCCACAGGGATAAAAGGTGAAATTGCCTTTATTCATCCTAGTATAAAAGAAGAAGAGGTAGAATTCATAGTTTCTAACATGTTAACCCTTTTCTAGCCCTGTTCATTGGATGCTTCTAGTGTGAGAACTGAGCTCAGGTCTTGTCCTTTAAAGTCTTTTAGATCATAATAGCTTAGCCAATATGATGGCTTAAATCAGGCACCTATTACGCTATATATCCTTCTTTCTTCTTCCAAAGGTACTATACAATGCCTCAGAAAAGCTTGTGCGTGCCAATTCCTGAAAGAGACATGACTGCAAGCAGCAAAACTGAAATAGACCCAGCAAGTGCTACCATGCCCCTCCTCTGCATTTTCATGGAAGCACCTTAAAAACTCCTTGTAAAACAAGTGCACTTCTCAGGCTTTCAGCACAACCTAGCTGCAAATTGAGGAGCAAATTTCTTACCGTTAATATTCAGGCTTTGTGTAACTAAATCTTGAGTTCTGAAAGGTCGTATCTCGGCCAAAGGTAGGAGAAATTTTATTTCCATGGGAATTTATTTAGCATAATTAACTAGTAACTCTCCAATGAAGAATTTAATTCTCATATGTTATGGCAATAGTTTTGCTCTAAGAAAAAGCATTTTTTTCAGTTTTTGTCTGCTCAGAATCTGTTTCTAATGACTCCATTTTCTGTGCATTCCCTCCAGTACGTGGTGATAGTAGTTCTTCTTCTGGAATAAATTGAGAAGGCCAGCATCTTCTTTGTTGGCTTGTTACATTGCCCTTACTCACCTTTCCAATTTGATGGATATCCTTGACAATTATTTTTTCAGTATCTTCTAGTACTGTTGTCAATAAATTAAATAGGAGCGCAATCCAAGCAAGACCAAAAAGGATCCAGATGGCCACCAGTGTTCGATAGTAGGAAAAGTAATTCCTGCCAGGCTGTTTACCTGCAGATAAGGAGGGAGAAAGAAGAAGAAAATTATCAAGTTAAAATTTCTCTGTTGGTGTAAAGCGGGCCAGCCTAGTGGATTCATCAGTGTATTTTATGTTGAATACTTTAAGGTGACTTTTTCATCATAGTGGATTCTCTCACTTCCCCAGCATTAGGTCAAGGCTGGGAAATCTCTTGCTGTTACAATAAACTCGTACATGCTAGCACAAACATGCTGGCCTGTAAAAAGATATACTGGGTTTCACATATTGATGTACAGAACTAGCAGCAGAGCAGGGCATTTTTTCCCCTTACAGCCTACCAATCCCAGTTCAACCTCTACACCTAAATGCAATGATGTAGGAAGTAGTGTAAAAATGTACTGTATTATCTGGAAAATATTCCCAAACTCACAAAGCACAAAAAGCAGTGCACAGTGGACCTCTATAACCACACAACTACTACTGCCAAAGTTATTGTAATTCTGTGTATTTCTATAAAGTGTGAATATAACTTCATAAATATTTGCTTTAAATTATAGTTACCCTTGATCATACAAGAGAGTAGCTGCAATTCCTAATTTACTTTTGAACAGTCTGAGGCACTTATTCCATTAAAAAAAATAGGTGACTGCTGAGAACTCACTGACACATGCCAAGAATACAATTTTCTGTGTTGGAAACCAGACCGAAGCTTACTTCATGCAGTCCAAATCTCTTACCATCAGCCTGTATCTTTTCTGCATGGGTCATTTTATTTCTGCAGTCAACAATACACCACCATACAGACAGAATTTGCTTCTACTGCACTTAGTCCCACACGATACTATCATGACACAGCTTATATGGCTGTGCAAGAAAACTTGGTGATACTGTGTATCGAGTGCTATAAGGCACTGTCAAGGGTGACTCCACATAGTCGGTAGCACAGCACGGTGCACGGACACGGAGATCACAAACCTGTGGATCATTTACCTCTGTGAAGCTTCCCAGAAGGAGCTTCACAACTGGCAAATCCTTTCAAGTCCTGCAGGACTCTGTAGTGCATAGATCAATGTGCAGGATTTTTGTATTTCATCAGGCAAGAGCTGTGTAAATGAGGCAGAAGTGGGCTGGTTTGACCTCATGGATAGATACCCAGCAGCTGCTTCTGCTGCTGGGGTTGAGTTGGCACAGGGGATGCCAGGCTTGCTACAGAGCATCTCCTTTTGTGTTCTTATCTGAAGTTCGTTATGTGGGGCTAGCAAACCAACTAGTAATGTCTTTGTAATGTTAACTCAAAACTGGATTTAGCAGGGCATAAATTCGTTTACAGCCCAAAGAGGATTTCACCCTAGAGGTATCACCTATATGTATTACAGTTAAATCCAGACTCTGTTACCTTCCTACCCAAAACAGGCTTCGTCTCATGCTTGAAATACAACAGCTACAAATCGGTTTTGAATTATTAAAATGTGAATAAACTCAAACCTGTTCTGTTCCACTTGTCCAGAACAAATCCATCTGTCATCTGTAATTAATTCTAAACAAAGAATACTCAGAGCAGTCATTGATTCTGCTTGCTTCATTGTGAGGTGTGAGGCATTAAACTTACCATTTTATCACCTTTGTTTAAGGCAAATTGAGATATATATTGCAGGGAAAAATATTTCAGCTCCAGTTAAGTCATCCTAATGAAGATGAAATCACAGTGCCAGAAGGCCTATCTAATTGTTATTTTTTAACTGTATTTGTAAAATAGTATGTCTGCAGAGCACATAGTCACAGCAGCCTGTGACCTGCTGTCATTATTGTAAAACACACTGGTAATTTGGACAAAGGAAGAGAATGCACCAGTTTAATGTTCACTTTTTCTCCCACATAGCACCAATCTTTCTCCATCTTCCTGTGTTCCACATCACTGTGTTTGAGGTGCTCAGCATCACACAGGCCAAGGTTATCAACCCTATAGATGTTCAGGAAAGAAATGCCTATCCCTATTGTCCTCCACTGCAGTGACAAAGATTGTCCCCGTCTGGAGAAAACAGTAAGCAGAGGTCACTGTTGTGTGATACAGATTCTTTGCTGTTGCTCCAGTTCTGTTTCATGTTTGTGGCAATGCTGCTTAACCATCGTTGGACACAAGGAACCTTTCTCTGGATTATGTGAAAAGAGAAATTTCAAGGGACACGTTTCCTATGCTTTGTAGCATGAGGGAGCAATTACCTAGCTGAGATGACTTGGGGAAATGTTGCCTCATCAACTCGTTGCTGTTGCATGAATTAACCATCTACAAGATCAGTCTACAAGATCATTACAATCACTAAACTCATGTGAACAAGCAAGATGTCAATTGGATTGTCAAAGCACTACTCAGCCTCTTTAGCACATTAAGAGAACTTAAAGTCAGCAGGAAACATTATATGATTATAAAAACATTATATGATTATAAAAAGGACATGAAACTGTTGGAACAAGTCCAGAGGAAGGCCATGAGGATGATCAGGGGACTGGAGCACCTCCTGTATGAATATAGGCTGAGAAAGTTTGGGCTGTTCAGCCTGGAGAACAGAAGGCTGTGTGGAGACCTCATAGCAGCCTTCCAGTTTCTGAAGGGGTCCTATAAGGATGCTGGGGAGGGCCTCTTCATTAGGGACTGTAGTGATAGGACAAGGGGTAATGGGTTAAAACTTAAACAGGGGAAGTTTAGATTGGCTGTAAGGAAGGAGTTCTTTACTCTAAGGGTGGTGAGGCACTGGAATGCCCAGGGGAGCTGTGACTGCTCCATCCCTGGTGGTGTTCAAGGCCAGGTTGGACAGAGCCTTGGATGATATGGTTTAGTGTGAGATGTCCCTGCCCATGGCAGGAGGTTGGAACTAGATGATCTTAAGTTCCTTTCCAAGCCTAACTATTCTACGATTCTACAATTCTATGATGCATAGGAGAGTAAAGAAGGCCACTTTCACAGTGGTATCTATGTTTAAGACTCACTTCTGATAGAGTGAGTAGATTTCCCCACTTTGCAATGACTGGGATTTCTACCTGTTGTGTAAAATCATGTCTTCTGAAAGATGACCACTTATTTCTTTAGTACATTTTGAGACATAAGTCTTAGTTAAGGCTTATGCAAAGATACATGCCTTATTTTATATGACTATCTCAAACTGTTCCCTTTTAGTATATGCAAATTCCTATGCTCCTTGAATTCTCCCCCTACACTTCCCCTTCCCTCCCCAAAATGCTTGTCTTCTTTGCATCCCAAAGCACCACATTTATTATATTTAGACAATTTTGTATTTTTGTCAGCACATGGAATCCCAGAGAAATGAGTAATACCCCCAGAACTGTACAAGACAAAGACTAGGCAAAGACTCACACAGATGTGCCTCTACAGTACACTGGTGGACTATGCAGTCAACCCATGGTAATTACAGTCATGACCCTGGTGCTTTACTATGTCTCCTCTCTGAAATCAACCTTACCTACTACATAATCTCCAAAGCCAATGGTGCTGAGGGTGATAAATGCAAAGTAAATTCCTTCGCTGTAGGACCAGCCCTCTGTTTTCTGGAAGAAGAATGATGGCAAGCACAGAAAAACTAGGATCCCCGTTGCCAGGAAAAACAGAAGGGTCAGAAATTTTATCTTCTTCTGAAAAAGAAACCAGTTCAATTATAAGCATGATCTGACACATTAGTAGGTCCTATATAATGATGGCTACTCAAAATGGGTGGATATCTAGGAATACCTACTAGGACCACAGGAACTGAAGGGTTTGTATTGAGTACTCTTCCTCTGAAAGTACCCTAGGCTTGCTTTGAAGAAGGGAGACCCTATGCACTATGGGTGTTACATGTCCACAGTAGCACTGGGAGATGTAGTCTTTTATTTGATTGTATCAATCTCCAACCACTGTGAGTATAGGAGGAATTCCTTTCAATGAATTTTACAGGAGTCAGACTATTTCCACTTTTCACCAGACAACTTTGCTTTTATTTTTTAGGTATTTGGGTATATTTATACTGTTTCTTACAATACTATCTTGAAGAGTCTTGACTGTTGACCTAATTTCTCATTGCGTCAGTGACACAACTTTGTTCCTACCCAGTGGATACCTTACTACAAGACAACCTTTAATAAATGAGCTCTTGATGAAGAAGTGCCTGGAAAGTGACTTTTGAACCATCCTACTTCCCAGCAGTCATGAAGAAGCCTTGACTGGAGAAAAAGACTTGTTATGCATTAAGATTTATCAGCTAGAAACACATATACAGAATTTTCTAAGTCTAGATTGTCTGGAAATTAATGGCAGCTGTTGGGTAATTTTTCATGCCTTTGTGCCTTGTGCATGTGCTTGAGTCTACATCTCATCAGGCCTTATGTCCTATTTAAGTTCGCCAGACACAGGGAGAAATTTAGCAGTTTGAACAGGGCTGTCTGCAGCATTCATACCTTGTATTGAAAGAGAATTACAGTAGGAGACACAGAAAAGCTATTCTCACTTCCTTGGTAGTGATGAGAGAAGGGGACGAGCTGCAGATAACTTGGGGCATAATGGAGCAAGATACATCCTGTTTCTGGCTATTTACAGGTGCCTCCTCACCTTTCAGCAAGTGGGCTCAAATGAATAACTTCAGCCTGTTGTTTCCTTTATGTCAAAGCTAAGGGTGGGGAGGGACTAAAGGACCACATAATGAATAAGGAGGGGTGACACACCAGGCATTGAGTCAATATTATTGACTAATTATAGTATTGAAACCCCTATAGTTCACTGCTTTTTACACCTTTTTACTGCTCACCTGCTTTATGCTGTCTCAAGGTGAGATGATTAATCATCTCTCTCTTTGCTGGTTATAAAGGGAGACATGTACTTCCCAAGAGAGTTAGCTTCTGAGGTAAGTGTCTAGAGAAGTAAGATACGGTGTCCACTCTCTCCATTGATTAATTAAGGGGGCTGGATGTCTGCCCTTTAGATGGATAGATAAAATGCATCCCTTTCTAAGAATATCACGTCTGTGGTTGCCTTGTCTGTTTAGCTCTGCAAGCAAGGAATGTCTCTTTCCCTCTCCTAATGCAATGCCTAACACAGCATGAGAACAAATATAATAGGGGATAATGCCAGCATACACCTTGAAAATTAAACTAGAAATGAGCATATAACTGCCCAACTAATTAAAGCCAATTACCTTTCTCATTCCTTTCTCATACAGGAATTTCCCCAGCTTTTTACACAGCAGTGAGAGCATCTTACCGACACGATGTAGAAAAACAATATTCAGAGGGATTCCAAACAGAGCAAAAAAAACACAGAAGATCTGGCCTCCAGCAGTTTTAGGACGTAGTGTGCCATAGCCTATGAAAAAAACAGGGTCAGAGGAGATATTCCAGAGAACTGGAGCAGCCGCAGTCACATTCACACCTACCCCAACCTGGCCTGCTTTGACCCTAAAAGATGTAGCTAGCTCATCTTAGTCAACATGCATACTATTTTCCAGAAAAAGGCAGCGAGAAAGTGATTCACCATGCATGTTTTGGGGGATGCAGAGAGCACTGTGTGCTCCCAACACAATCTTAGTGGGAGTGAAAAACAGAATCTAAAAGCAGTTATAGGAAACATGCACTGTCCTGTGACAAACACATGGAAAGACAAAACCCAGAAGTCTGGGGTCCTGGAAGACATCAAGGCTGAAGTCACAGACTGTTTGCCGTGTCAGAATCACACACAGCCATCACTAGCTTCTTGTCAATCTGCCTGTCTGCTAGTGACATTGGCTAAATCCCAGCAAGCTGAAATGTTCGGATACTAGCTCCAGTCCTGGAGCAGTGTAGTGTGTATTAGAATAGATGGTGCTAATTAGTCTAGACCTTACTGGTGGCTGATTTATTCATGCCAGAGAGATATTTGTCATAAAGTCCTACTAAAAGAGGATTTATCCACATAAAGAGTAGAACAACAGCTGCAGAACTCCAGACATCTCCTTTAATGGAATGGAGACTATTCTTAGACCCCATGAGGTATATCCCTGAGTACAAAAGTCCTGTACTTTCTGTATGTCCTTACTCTATCAGTGATCCTGAGAAAAGGCACTTTCCCAAGCACAGTTCATCTCAAGGCATCCACTACTTGGAAAATGTGATGTTTTATTTGGGGGAAGAGACAAATAAAACAACTAACTGGTTTACTGGATAGTAGGCCCCAAATGCTTGAGGTGTCTTGTGCTCTCTGTTGCAGAAATATTCCATTTTCATGGCAAAACCTGGTGAAGATGAGTGGAAGTACCTGACATACTTCCACAGCAGACTTAACGTGGCAAAGGTGCAGAGAAACAGACTGTCCTGGGACGGTCTGTTCACCTGTGCTAGTGTTGGCAGATAATTTTCTTCATAGTAGCTAGTATAGGGCTATGGTTTGAATTTGTGCTGAAAACAGTGTTGGTAATTCAGGGCTTGTTTTGTTATTGCTGAACAGTGCTAAGCAGACTCAAGTCCTTTTCTGCTCCTAACCCCACCCCATCAGTGAGCAGGCAAATTGGGGTGCACAGCTAAGGCAGTGGAAGTGCACAAGAAGTTGGGAGGGTACACAGTCGGGATGGCTGATCCCAGCCAACCAAAGGGATATACCACAGGACATCATGCTTAGCATATAAAGCTGGTGGAGGAAGAAGAAAAGGAGGGATATTCAGAGTTATGGCATTTTGTTTTCCCAAGTAACTGTTACATGTGATGGAACCCTGCTTTCCTGGAGATGGCTGAACACCTGCCTTCTGATGGGAAGTAGTGAATCAATTCCTCAGTTTGCTCTGCTGGTGCATATAGCTTCTGCTTTACCTATTAAACTGTCTTCATCTCAACCCATGAGTTTTCTCACTTATACTCCTTTGATTCTCTCCCCCACCCGACCGGGGTAGAGTGAGAGGTGCTTAGCTGTTGGTTGGGGTTAAACCATGACACTAGAGAAACACATTTTATGGAAAGTGATTGATTTGTTTGGCAGAGAAATGTTGTAATGAAAAAATACAGTAATACAGGTGGTGACAATGAATGGATTGGCTAGTAGCAGAATGCTGACAAACTAGGGAAGCTTTATTGAAACGTGAATATTGTAACCATGGAACATTTGTCATTGATTTGATGGCTCAGAAGCCTTTCTCTTTTCTACAGCAGAAGGTCTCCCGCATGGGTTCGTGCAACGTCTGCACACCCACCATGACACTGAGACAGCACTGGGGCCCTTGTGACATGTCACACTCACATCTCAGTGCAGCAGCCATGCCCACAGTGTAGTGTGAATGAGGCCTCAGCTTTACTCTGAAGAAACATAGCTTTGACTTTCACTGCATTTGAGTGTGAAGCAGGAGCTAATGGCATGGATTTTATGCTTAAATTTGGCAGGTCTGAACTCTGTGGGATTCGTATTTGAGAGAAAGGGACAGGTAGGCAGGACCTGAAAAGGTTAGAAGAGATTGAAGAAGCGGTGTAAAAGCCTCAGCGTTTGTTTTGCCGCCTTCCCACATTTTCCATCCTGGCATATTACTAGGTCAATATGTGCACAAACAGCTCAGGATAGATTATTGAGACAGTGTCCATGCCCAAGGAAAGTTCACTTTTTTCTCATAATTCTTTTATTCCTTACAGCACTCTTGGATTTAAAGCCTATTTTACCCTATAACAAAGTGAAGTTTGCCTCCCACCCACAACCGGTAGCAGACTGAGCATTTTAACAGATGGCTCAAAAAGAAACAAGTGTGCAATAATACGAAAAGCCAAAATAAGTGTACAAAGAGTTGTATATGAGGTCTCAGGACCAGAGGTCTCAGGACCAAGTCTGTTGCTGTCTACCATCCATGACAATGAAGGGCTGAAGTTTTTATTCTTTAAAATATCAATTCAGGTCCTGATAACCAGGCATTACACACATATACATGTAAAGCATCAGACTTACCTATTGTAGAGACAACCGTGCCTGCAAAGAAGAAGGAGTTACTGAAATCCCAGTTGCTGTCTTCAATCTGTGATTCATTTCCAACAGGGTATACTCCATTCTGAATAGCTTCAGTCAGGTTCTGGGAGTGAAAGCAAACATTTGATATCAACACAGCTGCTTTTCTGAAGTGCTTGCTGAAAGAATAGATTTAGCCAGCTACTGCTCCTTTCCTGTAAATACCACTCACCAGTACTCAGTGATACTCTTGACACTATCACACCTTCACCTCCAGTATTTTTGAATGTCATTCTTTTGCCCTGTTTATGCTGACTGCTCTAGTGGTTGTTAGGAGAACTTGCTTACTTTAGCATGATCAAGGACCTCTGCTCTTTTAGGCTAAGTACTTTAATAAAAATGATCCTACGTACGACTAGGATGTTGCAGAGTAAGACAGACCACTGACTTATGTGATGGCGTGGCTTGTTGATGGTTTTGAATTTGCCCTTAAGATGACAGAGGTGGATACAAGATCTAGTCACCCACTTTTATGCAGGCACACTGAGCAGTGACACCGATCCCTCCCAAGGGCATCAGTGGGTTATAGCAGTGTACATGTGACACACAAGAGAATTTCATTTTAATTTTGTATTCTGATTAGTATCACAGATTTAATTTCAGAGAAAGTCAATTGATTAACAAAGCATTACTCTTGGTGTCATCACAACCACAATTTAGCCTGACATATGCACTATTCTCACAACTGCGTGCATGAACACACACATATTTACAGTGTGGTCTTTGAGATGAGGTTAGATGAATTAAAAAGCCAAGCACTATGCAGAAGTCCCTGCCTTTAGCAAGCAGAGAACATTGGATTGGACATCTGAAAGGCAGGCTGGTTTGTACAGAAACAGCAAGAGAAAATCCAGAGCTGAACCCTGCCAGAGGCATGACAAAAGCTGGAATAAATTGCACCAGAAAAAATCTTTCTTCCCTCTTCCATGATCACTATCTTTAGTGCTGGTGTCCCAGAAAATGAAAGCTAACAGGAATTATTCCACAGCCCTTGCACAAAGACTTCACTGTCGTCAAAAGTTTCTCCTTTTTTTAGCCCACTACCCACAAAGAAAAAAAAAATCCAAAGTGAAGAGGGTGCAGGCATATATGAACTTGGGCTGGATCACTAGTTGTGTTATTAGACATACCAGCTCTTCCCCTCCTTTCCTTATCCTGTGAACTAGCTATTAATTTCCTATGCAGAAATGCTTACCGTAAGGCTAGTTGCACTCCCCGTTTCCTTCTTCATTGCAGCAGCTAGAACTAGAATATACCAACAATTTGGAGACAATTGCACTCAGCCTCCTGTGCCATGACCAGAAACACCTTTCCCTTGGCCAGGCTATCTGTTTTACTTCTGCAGCATCTTCAAAAAGTAAACCCTCACTATGTCACCCTCCTTGTATTGATTTGGGCTTCTTTATTTTTTCCCAACAGATTACTTCTGACCTTGCCATATGGTTTCCTTGGGCTATCTCTGACACTGTTATACATGGCAACCATGCCATTCATTTCAGACAGCTTCATTTTTCCTGCCATGCCATTCATTGTAGATGATTCAGCCACACCAAAAACTGAATCAAGAGGAGTCAAGACCCCAAAGAATGGGGACACTGTGGGATGGGGACTGTTAATAGCTAACACATAAGGTTTTGTCAAACTGCACAAGCTGTATTTACCACCAGAGTGACCTGCCTGCTCAGACTGGAGAGCGAGCTTGGGGTTTGGTAAAAGAATCCCAATGACTACATCAGTAGGAAAGCAGAGAAAGTTATCTGGACAGCAAGGCTGAAGAGGAAGCATGTGATGGGGAGACAGGAGGGAGAAAGGGCTTCCACAGGGATGCCACGCACCTTCATAAACTGTTCCACCTCCGCCACTGTGAGGTGAGTGAAGTTCTGCAGAAAAGCCTCCTTCATCTGGGCAGCTGCCATTTTCTCCTGCTTCTCAGCAGTTCTCTCCAGTGCCTGGAACACAGCAGCACCCACAAGCAGATAGATAAAGTAGCCAGCCACCAGCAAACCTGTCTGCAGCTTGCCACTGCACATGGCCTTCGGTGGGGTGCAGCAAAGAACAAAGAGTGACAGACAGATGGTGATGCCTCCCCCAGGCAGGAAGAGCCTTCCCAGCTCCGGTTTCCACTGGGATTCTGCACTGACAGCAACAGTGAGCTGTCAAACACATTCATGGGGAAGTTGGGAAAAAAAAACAACACAAAAACCCCAAACAAACAACAAAAACCAAAAGCAAACCACAAAAAAAACCACAACCCTCTCAAAAAAACTTTTCCACTCTCTGGGCTGCATGCTGTTTAGGAATTTCCTCTTGTCTGTGAAACTCTGTCTTGCTGAGTTCTCAGGAAAAGTGGGTCAGGATGTGAGGAGCTGGCGAGTGGCCATCTCCTCCTCAAGAGGCTCTGGGGACAGGTGAGGATAGCCTGTAAATGGTCCACAGAGAGCTTGCTAGGAAAAACGTTATTTCCCCTCCTCTACAGCCTGCTGACTCCAAGAACTGGTCTCCAGAGCAAGCCCAAATGACCTCAGAAACCCATTGTAGGGAGGTGGGTGTTTGTCCCTACTCCCAAGTAACAAGCCCTAGAGAAAGAGGCAATAGCCTCAAGCTGTGATAGGGGAGGTTTAGATTTGCTATTAGAAAAAAATGTCTTCACTCAAAAGGCTGTCAAGCACTGAGTTTGGAATAAATAGCAGACAGATCTGAGTTTGGCTGCATCAGGAACATTCTTAACACTCAGATTAACTTGCTTGATCTTAGATTTTTTAAGCATTTTAATTTGTTTTGTGCACAATTTCTGTGTTATTTCAGCAGATGCCCTACTTTAGTTATGAGAAAACACTGAAGCAAATCATAGAACAGTTAGGGTTGGAAAGGACCTTAAGATCATCAAGTTCCAACCTCCCTGCCATGGGCAGGGACACCTCACACTAAACCATGTCACCCAAGGCTATGTTCAACCTGGCCTTGAACACCCCCAGGGACAGAGCATTCACAACTTCCCTGGACAACCTATTCCAGTGCCTCACCACCCTTACAGTAAAGAACTTCCTCCTTGTAGCCAATCTAAACTTCCCCTGTTTAAGTCTGAACCTATTACCCCTTGTCCTATCACTACAGTCCCTAATGAATAGTTCATCCCCAGCATCCCTGTAGCCCCCCTTCAGATACTGGAAGGCTGCTATGAGGTCTCCATGCAGCCCTCTCTTCTCCAGGCTGAACAGCCCCAATTTTCTCAGCCTATCTTCATACGGGAGGTGCTTCAGCCCCTGATCACCCCTGTGGCCCTACTCTGGACTTGTTCCAACAGTTTGTCATGGTTTAAACTCAGCCAGACAGCTTGTGCACTCACTCCCAATGACTGGTGCTGGGCTGGAAGCAGTCAAGGCCTGTGTCCGCCCCCCCCCCCCCCCCCCGGGGGCTCCCTCCCTTCCCCGCTCCCGAAGGGATGGGGAGGAGAATCAAAAGAGTGTAACTCCCACGGGCTGAGATAAGAACAGTCCAGCAACCAATGTACAACACAAATCACTACCGCTACCACCAACGACAACGATGATAAGAGAAAATAACAAGGGAAAAGAATATGACAGCACCCGCTGAAAAACGAGTCCGACCCAGCAGACCCTGTGTCCTTCCGGGTAACTCCCAGTTACATCCTGGGCATGACGTGCTGTGGTATGGAATACTTCTTTGGTCAGTTTGGGTCAGGTGTCCTGTCTCTGCTTCCTCCCAGCTTCCCCTCCTCCCTGGCAGAGCATGAGGCTCACAAAGGCCTTGGCCAAATCAAAACATCATTTTTATCAGCTCTGTTCCCAGGCTGAAAGTCAAAACACAGCTCTGCACCAGCTACCAAGAAAGAGAAAAATGACTGCTACCGCTGATCCCAGGACACAGTTGCATGTCCTTTTTATGTTGAGGACACCAGAACTACATATAAAACTCCAAGTGAGGTCTCACAAGAGGAGAGTAGAGGGGCAGGATCACATGCTTTGACCTCCTAGTCATGCTCCTTTGGATGCAGCCCAGGTTACGGTTTGCTTTCTGGGCTGTGAGGGAACAGTGAAGCCGATTCATGTTAAGTTTCTCATTGACCAACACCCCCAAGTCCCTCTCTGCAAGGCTGCTCTGAATCTCTTCTCTGCCCAGCCTCTAGCTATGCCTGGGATTGCTCTGACCCAGGTGTAGGACCTTGCACTTGGCTTGGTTAAATGTCATAAGGCTGGCATCAGCCCACCTCACAAGCGTGTCAAGGTCCCTCTGGATGGCATTACTTCCCTCCAGCGTATCAACCGAACCACACAGCTTGGTGTCATCGGCAAACTTGCTGAGGGCGCACTCAATCCCACTGTCCATGTCACCTACAAGATGCTGAACAAGACCGGTCCCAACACCCGATCACTGAGGGGCACCACTCGTTACTGGTCTCCAGATGGACACTGAGCCACTGACCACAACCCTTTGTGTGCAGCCATCCAGCCAGTTCTTTATCCACCGAGTGGTCCACCTATCAAATTGATGTCTGTCCAATTTAGAGACATACTCTGAAGAAGCAATATGCCACCTCTTCTGCTCTTCGAGCCTTTTCATTTCTACTGAGTTTAAAAACACAAGAAAAGACAGAAACTCTGGGATTAGCTTTGCAGAACTGGTGTAAACAAGAAGTGGCATATGGCAGCAGTCTGTCTAGTGCAGGTTGTCCTTTCACACATACATCTGTTTGGCCTCAGAAGCAAACAGGAAAACTGTGAAGGAAGGTTAAGTAGCTTTGCAAACCCTTAAAAGTTTGAAGATTTTCTTCAGAGTTACTGGAAAAGGGTTTGTAGAAACCGGATATTTCATGTTTCCTTTCATTTTTTTGAAACTGCAGGGTGTTGGTGTGTTTCTTCCTCATATTTAAACTATTTCTGTACAAATAATGTCACCTATGGCTTCACTCTTGCATGTGTCTAGAGTCTTAGCCCTATGAGACAAGTGAAATCCCTTTACATGTACAAATGGAGCATTTCCTCATCTGCACAACACACATGAAGATAATACAGGTAGAATCCTCAGTATATTTGAGGGGAAAATGGATGGGGGAAAAAAACACAAAAAACTTGTGAGATTTTTGATATTGTCTTCAGTTGAAATGGTTTGAGCAGGGTGGGTAAGGGGCCAGGAAACTTCATCTTTCTCATGCTACCTACTCTAAAGTTTAGATATACTAAGCTGGGTTTCCTTCTAGCCCCATTTCCAAGATAGCAGGTTTTCTATACGTGCATACATCTACAGAAGCCCTTGACTGCAAGATCCTTTGTTTTCCTCTAGCTCTCAAACAGGGAATACACATCACCTTTTTCCAGTTTGTTTCTTCATACCTGCCTGCAAATCTTTAATAATGACTACAGATTTTTTTACATGAGAGGAGTATCCAATCACACAGCACTTGGATTGACTCTTGAAGAGGGAAAGAGGAAGAGCAAGCAAAGTGTCTGTTCAGTACTGGATTGTTAGCAAATAGGGTTCTCTGGGGAAGAAAGGAAGGGATAATCCATATTCCCTCAGTGAAGTGTTCCATTTGAAGCCATCCCTCATAAAGTTAAGGATAACCAGTTAGCCGTGACTGTGCTTCTCTCCTTATTTTGCCTAGATTAAAAGCTGAAAACATGATTTTGGTGGAGGCTGCTGGAGCTATCACTTGTTCTAGCAACTGAGAGTTACTGAGCGTAAGGGAATCTGGGCTGAGCACTATCATTGCTTCTTTTCCAACCCAGATGTATATCCATTGTGCTAGACTGACACCATTCACCCCAGTCATGAAAACTAAGTGTTTCTTAAGTGCTGGAGGTACAATATCTTCATCTGATGCTGAAGCTAGCATCCCACACCTGCTTTATAATCACAGTTATAACCTGTCTACATAGCTGGGAAGGCAAATAGGGACCTGGGGATCTGATGCGCCAGCCACCGTAATTGCTGTGCACTGGGAGATCATGAATACAGCCTGCATGGATGCAAGTTAATACAAGCCTCCTAGATGCTACTTAATCAAAACATCACCACTGGGGGCAGCTCTTCTCTCATCCTCCCCAAGACCTTGGGCCAGCTGGACTAACAGATCTATTCAATGCTGCTTGTTCCTCAAGAAGGAGCTGAAGAAGTGGATGTAAAGGCTCATAACTGTAGTTTTTAGTTGTGGAAACGAACAGAGACAGCTATCAAGCAATAACACTTTTCCAAAACTCATAAATTGACAAGAGGACTTCTGCTGGCCCAGTTCAAGCTTCCCTTGGGAGTGTCCCACTGCCATCTAAAATGTAGCTTGCAGGTACAGCAACAACCGTATCTATTAAGGTTCAGAAAGCTGTGGGTGGGTTGGGGTGTAGTTTCCTGACAAGGACTTTCAGCAGAACTTAAGTTACCATTGCACTTCAGACACTTAGTGCTAGGGTGCAGTAAGGGCAGCAGCTCCCTCCAGGGAGAGCGACAGGCACTAGCAGCTGTGGTCTGGGCTGGAAGGAGATCGTGAGCCATGGACTTGTGGAGGGAAGCCCTGGGGGTGCTGATCAGGGGTCTGGCAATCATGGAGCCAGTGTGTCTAGTAAGGCAGTTAATAACTATGTTTTGTTCCTAAGCTAGGAGAGACCTGTGATGGAATTATGGGACCAGGGAAAGAGAAGCAGTGCAGACTTCTCACACCTGCATTATTTACCCAGTCCATTCCAGGGAAACCCACATAGTGAGACCTGCTGGTAATGGAGGGCAAGGAGCATTTCCTGCCTGTGACATGATGTGCTGGGACAGGGTTTTCTTAACGCCAGGTCCTGCTCTCACTCCCTCTCATTCCCATCATACCCACAGTTCAGCCATTTCCTTTTTCTATATATAGCATTAGCTATCTTGCTGCACTCTTATGTGTTCTGTGTCCTTAGGCAGATTATAGCATGAAATAAATTCCAGGTTAATGGAAAATGTTATCAGTTGCCATGGAAATTCCTTACCATGTGATTCTGGTTGTACTTCCTGTTGTGCTTAAGGCTAAAACCATTACATGACTGTCATTTTTACACTTTCTTATATTTCTCCTATAAATATCTATTACTGATAACTGGTCAGAACACTCAGTCTTCTAACATGGGTAATTTTTGGTTTTATGCTGTGATCTTATGCCAGGCTATTAAACACACTAAACCTTTCTTCAACACTTCCTGT